TGTCATGTGGGGACAAAGGTGGGCCTCCTGAGGGTGCCTCTGTTTGGGGACCTCAAGAAACCCTAGCAAGATGGTCAGATACTGTGGTTGCTCAATGACATGTAGAAACAGCAGAAAAACAATACTAACCAACCAAATTTTGGTAGCTGGCATCCTGTAAGCTTCCCAACTCTCAGACTAAGGCAAAGGGTTGTTTGTAAATTGCAGGACTCAACGTATCATCTGGAGGCTCCCACACTGTGAGCCTCTACCACACTGATGTTCTGAATGCCAACCACTCTGTGAGTCTGAAGCTGCCTACCAGACTTCATGGCACAGATATTAATATACCGAATGCCCCGGAAACAAATATGAGAGAAGCAGACTGAGATTTATGGGCATGTTAATTGCAGCATTATTTATAATTGTTAAAAAAAAAAAGGGAAGTTAAATGCTTAACACATAGGTGTGTAGTTCTATTATTTCATATCTATATTATTCAGCTATTAAGAATCATGTCTTCCAGGAACATTTGGTAACAAGAAAAAAAAAAAAAACTTATGATATAATGAGAAATCAAAAAGGTACAAATTTGAAGACAATAGAAATATTTATTTATTCATTTATGTATGGCTTTTCCCTCTGGTCATATACATGCACATGGCAGAAACAAACTAAAATAAAATATTCATAGTGGTTATCTTTGAGTAATGAGAAACTAAATTACTTTTCTTCATCTCTATGTTTTTCTGTAATTTTTTAGTTTCATACAAAGCTTACCTTTCTACTTGTATAATAGTATAGTTTTTAAAAACTAATTGTCAATTTTCACAAGAATACCCAGCTATACTAGCACCAATCTACTGTGTAATTATTATTAATAAATGATAATATAGCGAATCCCTATTCTCATAGGTGAATAATTTTACACACAAAAAACATCTATTTGTATCAGTCAATAACCTCTGGACCAGAGGCTTTAAGCCTTTAAGATCTGCATTAAAATGTATCTTGTCAAAGTACTGCCTACTATCTTATATAATAATAGGGAAATATGCAAATTATCTGGGATGCCTTCATATCATGACTATTCACAGGGTGGGCAGGGCTGTGGGACCTCGGGGTGGGACTCCAGGTCTCATGTGATTTGTCCCCCCAGGAAGACACCTCTGCAGCCAAATCCCGGCACAGACCCAGGGTTTACTAAACTTTACTGGAGCTGCTCCCCACACCCCTACCTCCCTGCCCCAGGACCATGCTGCCCACAGCAGGGTGTGCTGGCAGCCTCCTGACAGGAGGTGGCCAGGGAGAGCTGAGTGGGGCAGGGTCGGCCGGAGCCAAGTTCCTGGGGATCTGAGGAGAGAGCCTGACAGGAACTCAAACTGCAAAGAGGGAAGAGGAAGTGGCCATGGGGAGCTCTTCCAATCCCCCTGCATGGACACCCTACCTCAGCCCCCACAACTCTGCGGGGACAGGGAGGCTGACTGGATGGGGAGAAGACCCAGCCTTTGGGACAGCTGCAGCCCACACCTCTGACTCCCAATCTCTTCCTCAGCCACTCCCACCAGGGGCACCCACAACAATAGCACGCCAGTGACAACCCATCAGCGCCCTTGGATTCCGAAGCCCTCCACTGTCGAATCACCTCTATTGGGGTCTGTCAGGCCTCTCCTCCCTACAACTCCAGACCTGGGTGGAGACAGGCCCGAGTGGCCTCCCAGGGTCAGACCCATCCCCCCTGACAGCAGCGGCGCCATCTCTGCAGCAGAAGCACACTGAAGCTTGCTGGGGGCCGCAGCTAAACCCTCTTAGCCCAGCAAGCCCCACCCTGGCCCGGCCCCCACCCCGCTCCAGGAGATCAGAGCCCCACCCTGAGCATGTACAGCTGTAAAAAGGCCAAGTACAAGTTAAAGAATGGTGCCAAATAGGGAGGTTTAACAGCTACTCCCCCTTTGGCCTTGCCTCCCTCCTAGCACCCCCGCTCCCCGAGCCAGTGCCTCCAGGAATGACCACCTACAGGGCTGCTGGCCAGAGCCTGCCCCTCCAAGGCTTGTGGAACCCTCTGCAAAGCTTCAGTAGCTACAGTCCCATGCCCTCCTCCCTCAGTCAGCACCTGCTTCCTTCAAGGGTACAGATGGGCTTAAAAATAACAATCCCTTCCCATCTAGACATCACTTACTTGATGAAACACTTCTAGGTTTATTAGCTCAGAACCTCCTCATGACAACCCAGTGAGGTAGATGGAGAAGAGATTACAATTCCCATGGTATATGTGTATGTATTCAGAAATGAAGCTCAGAGAGGAAAAGTGTTAAGCCCAATGGTTCCCAAGGTGCAGCACATGTCAGGAGGTGGCCAGGGAGAGCTGAGTGGGGCAGGGTCGGCCGGAGCCAAGTTCCTGGGGATCTAAGGAGAGTAATTTGATTTTAAGTGGGAGCAATTCTAGAATGAGTTAACAATTAATTTTTGTATTTTTTTATGGTTCTAGGGGGTCTCATCTACAGAGTATCCTATATAATAAAAGGATAATATGCAAATGACTGAATGGTGGAATGACAGGTCACTATGATGCACACTGACCACCAGGGGACAGACACTCAATGCAGGAGCTGCTGAGCTGCAGTGACTAGGCAGCTATGGTAACTTGGCAACTGCGGTTCTTGGGTGACATACCCAGAACCAGAGAGGAGGGAGCCCAATTCGGGGATGCGTCACTTGAGAACTGTCCTCTCACAATCTGGAACCCCTTTTGGGGGGCTGTCAGAGAGCTGATTTTCAGCCTGATCCCCATAGGCCAGGCCAATGGACCCCACCAGTGCACAGTCTCTGGTTTAATAATAAATGCCTTCCAACATTCTTCAAAACAGAGCCTCAGGGCTAGATGTGTGTCATTTAATTTAATTTAATTTAGTCAGCAGATGAGATTATAGTAGTAACAACATCCTACTCAGGTAGAACCTCACTGTGACCAAGTGCTTCCACATCCTTCAGCTCCTTTGCTTCTCACACTAAGCCTCAAGGAAGGAAAGGCAGGCAGTATTACCTACAATTTACAGACCGAAGAGTGAAGGCAGACTGCCACTTTCTCTGGCCCACTGGATCACCCAGCTTCCTGGAAGGCACAGAGGGCTTGCCTTGGGGGAATGCTTATGGAGTTTGGGCTGAGAATATGGCAGCAGTGTGTCCCTGAAGCCAGGATCCTGAAGATTTTTAGGGTAAGGATGGGGGTAATAAAACTCTGAGGTGGGAGGACATCTCTACTTAGGTCACAGTGTCTCCTATGGGAATCTCTGAATGAATGGCTTCCTCCTTGAGCTTTCTGTTTTCTTAATTCTATCCATTCTTCAAAGTCAAACACAAATGCCACAGATCCAGGAAGCGTTCTTTATTATGCAGCACAAAGAAACCTCAATAATAACATCTTAAGGTTTTCATGTTCTTCATCATGATACGTTTTTGAGGAAAAGGAAGATCAGAGGTTTAAGTAACTTGTCACGTTGACACAGTTAACTTGTCAAGTTGACTTGTCAAATTGACACAGTTAACAAGTAGCAAAGTCCAAATTTCAAATTACATCAAGCCACAGTGGCCAGACCTTCCTGTATACTTACCACATCTTATATTGCCCATGTGCTCTTTAACCCCTCAACTGCTTCACAAGTTCTTTGAGGACAGACAGCAAGACTTACAATTCTTTTTGTTTAAAAAAATTTTTAATCCTCACCTGAGCATGCTTCCATTGACTTTTAGGGAGAGTGGAAGGGAGGGAAGAAAAGGGGGGGAGGGCGATATAGAGATAGAGAGAGAAACAGAGATAGAGATAGAGATAGAGATAGAGATATAAAGATTGATAGAGAGAGAAAGATTGATGTGAGAGAGACACATAGATTGCCTCTTCCACGTACCCTGACTGGGGTCGTAGGGATCTAACCTGCAACTCAGGTATATGCCTTTGACCAGGAATTGAACTCAAAGACCTTTGGTGTGCAGGGCAACTCTCTAACCACTCAGCAACACCAGCCAGGGCCTAACAATTCTTTGTAAACTACTTCCTCCCAGTACCTAGCAGAGATCCATGTATTTATAAGTCAGGTCTTAATAAGCATCATATGTTAACTATCTGTTTGGTGGGACAGTAATTAATAAGAGGGAATTTCTGGTACTCTCAATGTCAGGCTCTCTGCTGTATAAAATTAAAACAAGAGTAAACATGAAATAAATCATTTCTCCTAGCTCTAGTTAATCACGAATTGATTACCATGTCTGATTCTCTGTTATGTGAAAAGAACTGCTTAGTAAGCATTTTCTGTGATGAGAGTATACAGATATCAGAGATATTTTTAAAAAGACAAAAACAGGACCATCAGACATATGGAGAGACAGTGATCTGCATGGTATAATATTGCACCTGAGACTGAGGAACTTCCAAGGCAAAGAGAGCACTTGACTAATTTGGGGCAACTTAAGGAACACTCAGAGGGGAAGTCAGGTACATGATGTACCATTATGCCGTATCAAGAAGACAGATGCATCATGCTACAGTTGTGGGTCTGACACAGAAGAGGGGTAGACTTTCCAGGGCTTTTCTGGGAGAAACAGTTTGCCCTGATACCTCCTCAACATAGCAATCATTTCATTGCCATCTGCATTGATAGGCAAATTGAATAAATATACATGCAATGTCTTACCTATTAACCTGTTGGGTCTCATTCCACCTGGCCTCCCAACACATCATTAGTTTGTAGCTTTGGAAATATAAAGAGCTCAAACAAATCCATTGAGATTAAAATTCTAAGGTAGAGATTAGGTCAGGTACTTCTACGTTGGCATCCTGTAACCTGAACTATCAATAGCAGTGCCTGTTTACTATATTTGATTGTCAAACCAGGCACAGTTAACAAGCCCTTGAGAGGCAGGAACTCTGATTTCCTTTGTGTTATGAATAAAATGCCACATTCCCATAAGCACTTAACCAGCATCAGTTAAGAACGAAGAACAAATACCAGGTTTAGGGTACCTACATTTGTATCCTCATGACTGTGGCCATTGGTCTCCACCAATTCCTTGGTACCTTTTAACTGCAAATTAAAAAAACAAAAACAAAACAAAACAAAAAAACACCAAGTGAATAAGCAAGTATATCTATTAAGTGATTTTCATCTTATTAACTCTGGTTTGTCTGAGGCTGCACTTATAAAACTTCCAAGGAGGAAAAACACAGATGGGGCCCATAACTCTAATGAGTCTTATGGAAACCAGTTTGAGACCAATATTTTATGAAACTTGATGGCTGGCAAAAAAAATAAATGGATCTTATTCATTATTTTTTAAATAATAAGATTTGAAAGCAATTCCATAGGCATAAAATGTACAAAAATTGGTTCTTAAGAATAAAAAATGATTTCATTTCCCAGTTGCATTGCTATTAATTTAAGCCCTGCAGTGCTTGCAAGCTGCCACCAGCCAAATGATGTGATAGTAACAGTTACTGGTGAAGGCTGGTTGGCTGAATATGCCATAGAGCTGAATATGCCATGTCCTCTGTGAACATGTTTCAGTGGTTGACATGGTGAAAAAAGACAGTTTTCTTCTTTCCGTAAAGGAAGAACTGGAAAGACATCTCCTTGGTCACGGAGGCATTAGCAGAAAAGCTATTTAGGACAGTGAGCATTTGAAAACACTACTGCCTGGACTCTCTCACGGAGGATCAGGAGAAATCAGCTGTTACACAAGAGTTCTGGAACCTTTAATTGGCATTTTATCCTAGCCTGACTCAAAGCAGACATATGGAGGCGGAGAGCAAGGGCAAAGGGTGAGCAGGCCTTGCAGCTGGTGCCAGTGTTTCGTTCTGGCTTATTATGCTTCGAAGCAGCACCTTCTGTGCCATTTTTAATGCCTAAAATAAGGAATTCATGGTGAGAAATAAATGTTTCAAGTTTGAAAGAAAATAAATGCATATATATATATATATATATATATATATATATATATATATACCATCCATGTGCTTGGTTAGAACACTGGTTTTCATGGCTATTTGTGCACATTAAAATGAAAGCTTCATTATATGTTTAAGGAGATCTCAAGCTGTAAGCAAAAAAGCCGTATGTTCTTTGTGCCAAGAGAGGGGCTTTGCCAAAGAGATGGCGCCTGGGAGACAGTGAGTGTGGGGCAGCTGGTTATGGACCGGGGCAGCTAATCATGGCTCATGTCCACATCTCTCCCACTTACGAAAAAAATTCTGCTCACTAAGCTTCATGCCACATCATTGATGTTTCTACATATAACAGGGATGAGGGAGCATGGGCAATGGGTGGCATGTATGAAAAGAAAAGGGCATGCAGTGATACAAATGCTACAGTATCTATTATCAGTGGGCACAGAAGGACTTTAAAAACCCTTCCACATTTTCCTATCTTAAAGTTTTCTTACTGTAGGTGTCCCTCACCTTCTTCCTCTTTGTCAACTCTCTCTGCTCATCCCACCGTAGGGCTGTGACTCATGCCACTGTGAGTGAGAGTGGAGTTAGCTCAGAATGTTTTGTTACTTTCAGCGGAAGTACAGGACTGTGCCATTAAAGTGCTTCACCTTTGCAAGCTTAATGCCATCAGTGTGCCCTTCTCCCCTTTAAGTCAATTCTATCTTCCTCCTCCAAGTTCTCATTATCTCTGCCCCTGAATCATCTGCTATGCATTTGCTCTCATCTCTCCCTCTTCACCAGCATCGCCGCTCCCCTGCTTTCCTTTGCCAGGACTGATGATCACAGTTCATGCCTCCCTCCCACAGGTTCCCCTTTCCCGACAGTTGGAGCCCCTAGCTGGCTCTGGCCTGCTCCTTGGTGTATGAGTCCTGCTAACAAGACTCCCTGTTCGCCTCGATGCTCCCTCCTCCAGGTGGAGGGATCAACATCATGTCTCATGGGACATAGCTCTTTTGAACAAGCTCCAGGTATCAAGCCAGAGTGGGGGCCGGAGGGACCTGTAGGCACTGCAACTTAGCAAACAGAGAACTCAAGGAATGAGCCTGCCCTCCCTGGAGGGGTGGGGCCACTCATGGGTAGGTGCCCTCACAAGCTCGTCTTTCTTTTCAGGATTCCCAACAAGTGTCAGTCACTTTGAATAGCAAAATTCCAAGTCTTCTGGGAAGGGTGTGTTTGTGTGTGTGTGTAAAAGTAAGACTCCAGATCCAAACAATCAAAATCTCTAGCAGTGAGGCCATTTATCGAGGCCCTATCTATGCAAGTGCTGACAATGTGTTTATACATGTAGTTACCCTACCCAAGTTCAAAGAAAGTCTTGGAAGGCAATGCTCATGGAGGTACATGTATGTTTTAAATGTGTGTCTGGGGGGGTGGGTAGGATGGGTGGCTACAAGATGAAAGGAACATGCCCACTGCATGCTGCCATCAGCAGGGGTGACAGGGCACCAGGAGAGGGGCTGTCAAGAAAACGCTGGTGGTTGGGATAGCACTCAATGCATTTGGCTGCTGTGAGCCCACTTAGATTTAAACTTTCTCAGGGCCTTTGCTTAAAAAGAGCCACCCCGTTTAAATAGTACAGCAGATTTCAAAATGCATTCTTTCCAGTTGTATTTCCTTGGTTTGTAATGATTTTAGTGGTTCTGAATCTTCTCCACATCCCCATTTATTTTTTAAGTAATGGAGAGTGAAGTGTGATGCCTCACCAGCGACGGTGTCTGTGCTTTGCTATTTAACGATGCAAACCCTACAAGAATATAGCAATACTCTGCAAAACTGGGGTTCAGACTCCAAACCAAAATAAAGGATTTGAGTCATTCAGAGAGAGACTGCTCATGTGTAAGCACAGGAGTAGAAACCAGGAAGGTGAGAGTTGTCTGATGGGGAGCAAGTCTGAACCAAATCAGCTCCACTTGGCTGGGAGTCTCAGCACTGCAAAGGCTGGAAGATCCGTGATTTCAGGTCTCTGAGATAGTCGGCCATGTGCATTTGGCAAACAGTGTTTTTCAGCCCCATCTAACTTATCCAAAATCGTACATATTCAGCCTCAGTCTAAGTTACTGAATATATATCAACTATAAAAGAGAATGACTTGTGTTACAAAGCATCTTCCTCCGAAGCTATAGAAGCTTATAAAGTGTCCAGCACCTTCTCTTTTCCCTCACAAATCACTTATACTTTTAGGGCAATGGTCGGCAAACTGCAGCTCGAGAGCCACATGTGGCTTTTTGGTCCCTTGAGTGTGGCTCTTCCACAAAGTACCACATGTGGGCACACGCATATAGTGCAATTGCAGCTTCGTGGCCCATGCGCAGAAATCAGTTTTAGGCCTGGGTGAGTCTATTTTGAAGAAGTGGCATTAGAACACTCAAGGGGCCAAAGAGCCACATGTGGCTTACAAGCCATGGCTTACTGACCACTGCTTTAGGGGAAAGTAACTAAAATATATATTTTCTTGACCCCCAAACCATTAAAAATAAACATTTGTAAAGTGACTGAGTCACAGCTGAGTAGGGTCACAGTCTCCCAACTTCATACTTAAAAAATGTCACTTTTGCAGTTACTTATACGATACAAATAATGTTTCCATAGATCACTGTGAGTTAAAAATGTAAAACGCCTGACATTTAGTTAGGGTTGGAGTTACTCTGTGTGAGTTCCCCTCCCAGTTACATGCATTACATCTCTGGCAGCAAGTGTAGGCTGGGCCCGGACTAGGGAAGCATTCCAACACTACCCCCCAACCCCCGCCCCCGCTCCTCCCCAGTGGATGCTGGGCTGGACTCGCTCTGCGCCAAGCCATTCGTTTTGCCCGGCTGTAAGGCTGCACTTCCAAATCCACTTATCACTGTCAGGCCACACTTTGCTATCACAGGAAGTTAGGATGAAACGATCAGATTTACAAACTTCATATAAGAGGTTTGCTGCTCACTGTGGTGAGATGGGTGCCTTGGGGCACTGGGAAGGTATTTCTTTAATGTTGCCATGAATCTGTCCCTTCTTATGCACACGTCTGTGGGCGTGCCAGGGGTATGCTAAACTCATTTTCCTCATTATTAGACTTAAGAGGAAACTAGCTGCTTGCTAGGAAATATATCTGCACCGCCAATATTTTAAAACTTTATCAAAATTCATTGATCTGCCGAAACCGGTTTGGCTCAGTGGATAGAGCGTCAGTCTAAGGACTGAAAGGTCCCAGGTTCGATTCCGGTCAATAGCATGTACATTGGTTGCAAGCACATCCTTGGTGTGGGGTGTGCAGGAGGCAGCTGGTCGATGTCTCTCATCTATGTTTCTAGCTCTCTATCTCTCCCCTCTCCCTTCCTCTCTGGGAAAAAAAAAAAAAGCAATAAATATATTTTTAAAAAATCATTGATCTTCTGGAAGAAGCTCTCCCACATAGCTGGTGGACTGGGGTAATCTAAATAGGGATCTAAGAGTGATAACAGAGGTGTTGGGATGAGATTATAAACTCCACAGAGCAAAGCCCCAGGCGGCTGGCTGGGAGGGGACAGGTGTCTCGCTTGTGCGCCCGGTGCCTGAGAGACGCGCGCCCCTGTGGGAACCGGGTCCGCAGGCAGAGCTGCGGCGGTCACTCACTTGCTCCTGGAGGACTTTGAGTAGCGCCTGTGTGTGCGACTGCTCTTCCTTTGCTTGCTCCAGTTCTGACTTTTTGTTGTTCAATTCCTCCTGGATGGTCAGCAATTGCTGTGAAATGAAAGGATATATATGTAGGGTAAGTAGGACTAAAGGTCAGGGAGGGTAAGACATCCAAAATATCCACTCCAGACCGTGAAGAGATTTGGACATGTCCCAGAGCTTAGTCCATACTGTGTGTGTTCCTCTCCCCCCAGCTGAGTGTAACGAGTCTGCTAGTTTAGGGACACATCAGGCTGTTTGTGACATTGCTGCACAACAAAGCCAGTTTGTTGTAGTGTTTGTAAGGCACCGTTATATTCCTTTTGACAAGTGCATATTCATGAAGATATGTAGAATCGTGTTAATGAGCAACATATTGAAGAAATAAAGAAAGGCATATAACCGGTCATCTCGTCCAAGATGACTTCATTTTACTTACGGCAGTAAAGAAAGCTACTTCACCAGGTGGCTGGGGCCTTTTACTTTCTCTGTTATGACAGTGATGTTTTATTAGATCAGCAGGACTGAAGTCCAAACTGCAGTCAATACATCAGCCGAGAAAACTGCTGATATAAGCTGTCAAGACGCTAAGCTATGGCCTGCACTGCTATTTTTAAGCCGGGCCACGAAGGGGACTCTGGTAAACCTTCCCTCGCCCTCTCCACTGTAACTGACGGAGGCCTGCCTGTCTGCCAAGCACAGCGCTGCTCAGCACTAATTCTTTGGAACGGGTTGTATGTTAACACACACATGGGCTGGGGCACATTCAAGAGCTTCAGAGCAGGCTCTGGAAACAGCTACTCAAAGCCTCCTGACAACAAAGGACTAGTTAAAAAAGACAGAGGCGCATTTTTTTTTTCCTGCTACTGTCCATAACGGATGCTGCCCTAACGCTGTGAAAATATTGGTGTTTCCTTGCCTCTTCGGGCCCTTGACAAACTGGCTTCAGAGCCTCCCGGCCTGTCCTTCACGGAGAGGCCCGGGTAAACACTGGCACTAGGTTTCTGATGCATAAACCCACCAACTGGAAGGATTAAAAGATTTCCTTCAAAACCACTCGTTTCGGGGCATGCTTTCCCTTGGTTTGGCTGGCTCTGTTCCCTGCTCCGGTACCAGATACAAGCTGAAGAACCCACCCTGGTCCTCCAGCATAAACAGCGATTTCCTTGCAATTTTCTAAAAGCTCAGTGCCTCCTATTTCACCAGCTGCTCGAGGGTGAGGTAATACACACACCCCACACTGGTTCCCCGAACACTTTGTGTGATTTATGCATCGACTGATTAAGATACAGACACCAGGGAGCCCATCTTGTACTTCGGCACTGTGACAAGCACCTAAGATGACAGTTTACAAACAGTGAGCAATGGCTCTGTTCCTTCATTCTCATTCATGACTCGGCCAGTTCTGAGGGGATCTGGTGCTGACTTTGATGATGTCAAGTAAATGTGTGTTATTGTTGTTTTTTGTTTGTTTTTTTAATCCTCATCTGAGGACATGCTTAGAGAGAGGAAGGGAGAGAGTGAAAAACACGCTTGTGAGAGGGAAACATCAATTAGTTGCCTTTCGTACACTCCCTGAGTGGGGATCAAACCCTCAATCCAGGTATGTGTCCTTACCAGGAATCAAACCATCAACCTTTCGGTGCACAGGACCCTCAACCAACTGAGCCACTCTGATCAAGCAATGCCAAGTAAATTTTTACACCATTGGATAATTTCAAATCTAATCCTTAAACCTCCTTTAAAGATGAACCAAATTGAAGGGCAGGAAATTATCTTCAAAGGCAGGTTGCTTATGTTTGTTCCCTGAGCACTATGAATAGCAAAATTCAGAATAACCTCTGTCCAGCAGAAGGGCTTGCCTACATTGATGATGGCACATCTGTACAATGGAAAACTATGCAGTCATTAAAAATGAAGCTGCACAGCCTGGCCAGATGGCTCAGTGGTTGAGCATCAACCTGTGAACCGGGAGGTCATGGTTCCATTCCTGGTCAGGGCACATGCCTAAGTCTCAGGCTTGATCCCTGGTAGGAGGTGTACAAGAGGCAGCTAATCAGTGATTCTCTCTCGTCATTGATGTTTCTATCTTTCTCTTCCTCTATGAAATCAGTATATATATATATATATATAATTTTTTTAAAATGAAGATACACAAATGTCTCAGAACATAGAAGAAGTGCATCAAACACAGTTCCCTGAACAAAAGTTCCAGGTTTCTAAAAGGTTTCACTAAATTGCAACATATTCATAGGAAGGGATTAGGACACCATTTCTGGGTGAGTGGGTTTAAGGGTCTTTGTATTATTTTTGCTTGTAATTTTCTGCTGTGTCTCTAAGGAGCATATACTGCTTTAGTAATGAGAAGAAAAAAATAAAAAAAAATTGATTAAGGTTGGGAAAAGGACAAAGAAAAGAATACTACTTGGGTTTAACTCTCAGTTATTATTACCAATGCTGTGAATAAAGAGGAGGGAAAGTAAGAATCCCATTAAAGTCTGCTATTTCATTTATGCATTTACAACACTTCTTCATTCTATTAAATCACACGCACAATGTCATGGGGATGTAATGTACAGCATAGGGAATATAGTCAATAATATCATTAAAAAACCAATATTAATGTACTTAACATTAATAGACTACACTTAAAATAGCCAAGATGGACAATTTTATGTTATACAAACTGTACCACAGTTAAAAATTAAAATTTTAAAAAAATACACACACACACACACACACACACACACACACCCTTTCCTTTTATGTCACTGCCCATTTTTAAGCTTTCATCCTATCTCATTCTTCCTTGATATCACACTTTTTAAATAAAATATCTTCTCTCTTATTCCTGCTTCCTTTTATTCTCATATGTAGGTAATCACTTTCAATGGTTCCTATTTTTTTTTATTTGAATGTGTTTTTCCAAAATATATCATGTTCTTGCGTATGCATTTTTATGGAAGTGACAGTGTCACATTTATTTATTAAACATTATGTTTTTAAGGTCCATCCATTTTAATATGTATACAGGGTAGAGCAAAAGTAGGTTTATAGTTGTGAGTCTACAAAACAGAGTTTATTCTTGTATTATTATCTATTAACTAGAGGCCTGGTGCATGACATCAGTGCATTGGTGGGGGTGGGGAGCTGAGTCCATCAGCCTGGCCTGTGCCCTCTTGAAGTCCACAGTCCAGGACCTCTTGGGGGATGTCCAACTGCCGGCTTAGGACATACTTGAAGGGGTCCTTAGCATTGCTGTGGAGGAAGAAGAGGCTCCTGCCACAGCTGCTGTGTGTGCCAGCTGTGAGCCCTGCTTCTGGCTGAGCAGTGCTCCCGCTGTGGGAGTACACTGAACACCAGAAGCAGCTCCTTCATTGAGCATCTGCCCCTGGTGGTCAGTGTGTGTCATAGCGCCCAGCCATTCCACTGTTTGGTCAATTTGCATATTAACCTTTTATTATATAGAATTATTGTATTATTTTTCATATAAACAACTGTAAACCTACTTTTGTCACACTCTGTATAAATAATCTATTTCTGCTGATGCTGCATAATATTCTTTGGAGTGCATTCCCCCAATTATACCTAATGTACTCTCCAGTGAAGGCCACTCAGATTATCTTCAATTCTCTCTCCCCTACACAAGGCTTCAAGGGAACATGCTGGTGCACGTTCCCTAATGGGCCGAGGGAGGCTTCCTTGCCATGTTTCCAGCAGCAGAACTGCTAGTCCATAGGGTATGCCTAAGGAGTTACAAAGCCAGAGCTGCTCCACAGAATGGCTTTACCAGTCTACCACCCACCGGCAGTGTGTAAGAGTTACTGTGTCCCACATCCACACAAATGCTTAACATTATCCAACTTTCTAATATTTGTCAGTCTAATAATATAAAGATTCTTCATCCTTTAAAAGTTTTGTACTTCTCTGACTCCTTGTGATTTTAAGCATCTTGTTAGCTGCTGAAGTTTATTTATACTTTAAAAAAATGTTTTCCTCACCCAAGGATATACTTTTTCAAAACTTATTTTAGAGAGAGGAAGGGAGAGAGAAGGAGAAAGAAAGAGAAGGTGAGAGACATCACCAGGTTGCCTCCAGTACAGGACCCAACTGGGGATCGAACCTGCAACCCGGATATGCGTCCTGACCAGAAATTGAACCTGCATTTTTCAATGCATGAGATGATGCTCTAACCAACTGAGCCACAAAGAATATTCAAGGATAGTGTTTTTAAAGATAGGGGGGCGGGGAGAGAAGGAGTCTTAAAATGCTGATTCCTGGGCCACATAGAAGACCAATTAACTCAGACTATCTAGAGCTGTGACCCAAGCAACTATGATTTTTTTTTTTTAAAGAAAGCAAACAACTTCACATATAATTTCACTTATACGTAGAATCTAAAACCCCAAATAAACAAACAAAACAGAAACAAACTCATAGGTGCAAAAAACAAATTGATGGTGGCCAGATGGGAAGGGGGTTGGTGAGATGGTTGAAAGGTGAAGGGGTTAAGAAATACAAATTGGAGATTACAAAACATTCACAGAAATATAGAATACAGCATAGAGAATACAGTCAATAATATTCTAATAACTATGTATAGTGTCAGATGGGTACTAAATTTACCAGGGTGATCACTTCCTAAGTGATATAAATGTTTCATCCCTATGTTGTACACATGAAACTAACATAATATTTTATGTCATCTGTAACTGGAAGATAAATTAATTTTAAAATATTGACAAAGCAAGTAACAAAAACCCTTCACAGATAATTCTAAGAAGCTAATGGGATGAAACCCATTTCCTTTCATGCTTATTTAATCCTCATTCCTCTATAATGTGATTTCCATCCAAAGTACCCTACTCAAACTGTTCTCACTGAAGTAGCCAATGCTTTTCCAATTGCCAACTAAAGGCCAAGTTCTGTTTTTTCTCTAGATACACACTCTCCAGATGATTCTAGTCACTCCTATGGTGTCAAGTACACATCTCATCCACTTACGCTTTACAAAGCTGACTATGTAGTCTCCACTTCAGTTCTACTACTCATTAGACACTTACTGTTTC